TATTGCACATATATTTCTTACATATATTGCAATTCCAATCCAAACGTCAACATCAACAATGTTCATCACAGAACTTGAAAACAATCCAACAAGTTATATAGAACCAGAGGAGTCACTTTTTAAGTGATTCTTACTCTCAGAATATCACATTCCTATGTAATCACTTCCCATCCCCCTCACCCCACTGCTCTCAGTACATAATGCTTATTCTTTTTTTAATCTCCATCTTCAGAAGAAAAGGAGAAGATAACATCAGCATCATAGCAATTATTAAGGCCGCAAGGAGGCCAGGCTGTAATAGAAAAGCAGGACCTCGGAAAACTTTGGACAGTCATACGCACTGCATGATTCTCACCGCATTGTTCTCACTCAGTTGCTAAACATATCTTTTCTTCTATATTAATTCCTACAGTTTTAATATTTTCTGTACATGGAAAGCTATCCAACCCATGCATCCAGAATACCCAGCTGGCAAACCCTTGGAGCCTGAGAATATTACCTGATATAGCAAAAGAGGATTTAAGATGAGTTTAAAGAAGGTGGATTATTTGAAAGTATCTGATGTGAATGAATAACAATGAGAAAAGAGAGGAGTTTGGAGTGAATATGGCCACAAGCTAAGGGATACAAGCCACTTTTCAAAGCCAAAATAAGCAGGGACACATTTCCGATTAGAAATGCCTTAGAGAACAAGCACTGTTGACTACTTAACCTAAAGTCAGTGAAATGAACTTTCCAGCTGCTGGCTTCTATAACTCTAAGAGAATAAATTTCTATTTTAGTCCATCAAGTTTATGGTAATTTGTCATGGGTATCAGAGGACGTGAGCACATTTTATCAGGAAAACATCAGTAAATGCAATGGTCTTCATGCATTTTGAGAAGCTTCGGCTCTGCATTCAGGGCAAGTTTGAGATTCAAAGGGTAGGCTCTGTGGTCCTCAGATAATTCAGATAAACACTTGTATCATCTGAAGAATAAGAAACAAAAATCCCTTTAATGAGTCTGCTGGCTCCATTCAACTCATTAAAAAGGAATTATGGAACTCTTTCCTAATTTTATCCAAAGGTTAAAAATCCTTTAGGGTAAACACAGAAGATTAAAGAAAGTGAAATTTCCAGCAAGTGGCCCTTAAAAAAAGTAATGACTGACAGCTAACCTTTCAGGTCGCGGGAAATTTTAACTTCCTTTTTTTTTTTTTTTGCCACTATATATACAATTGTGTTCTAATTCCACTGACCAAGGTTTTATTAAATGATGCAAAAGTGATCTTACCATTTAAACAGCAAAATGTATGCAAATCAATATTTACATAACAACTAAACTTGAAATATTGGGTTAATTGATTCTTAAACTTAGCAGTGAGGGCCTAACATGGTAGACACCTGTGGCGCATCTGCATTTTTGATTGAATAAATCATGAACAGTTTCAAAAATTAAATGGAAAATGAGCAGTCAGGATTTTAGGGAGCAGAATCGAATGAAGATAGCATTTAAAAAATAATAACAGGAGTGAATGAAAAGACAGTAATTGGAGTTTAATAAATATGCTCAACTTTTCACAGCAGCAGGTAAATGTGTGATGAGAGGCAGTTTTAATCTGAGTTAAACATTTTGAGATGGAACAATAAGGACTGTGACTTGATGAGTTATGACTCTATTAAGTAACATTTAAATGCATTTATTAGTGTACCACCTAGGAAAATTATTTCTCTGTACTTTAGTCCCCTCTTAATAAAAGCAGAGATAATAGCATGTACCTTGAACACATGTCCTTTAGATAGTATGAGGATATTAATGTGAAAATGCTTAGAAAAATGAACTGAACATAGTAGAAGCAAATTAAATATTATTTTCATTGCATTTTCTGTAGATGTAATGTAGGGAATTACAATCACTAATTAGAATAATGAAAATATTATTCAATTATTTTGTGTTGCAACCCGAATTTCTTTTTCTTTTTCTTTTTTTTCCGGAACCGGGGATTGAACTCAAGCTCTTGTACTTGCCAGGGAAGCGCTTATTCCACTGAGCTATCTCCCCGGCCCCTTCCAAATTTCTATAAAAATCACTGTCTTCTCTAAAAGTTAATACAAAGCTAAATAGTTGTACACTAGAGAGTTAAGGAAAATGACTTACTTGACACCAGAATCCCACTCAATTTTATTACTTAGTTCATATTCTTCTGCAGCTGGGACACTAACTAGTTCCTGGAAGGTACCGCATGAGTTTGTTTACAATGACATCAATATTGACTTTTCCTGGATTCTAATCCTGTCATGATTAATTAACCACCAAATGTCCCTAAATTCAATTTCTGCATTTTCAAAATTGTGCCAACAGTAGTGCCTGTTCTCTCTATGTGGCTGTATTAGATTATATAAGATGTATAATTAACAGATAACTAATATTTCAATAATTGAGTTTTTATAATTATCATCAGCTATAATATTTTTAGTATTATTGTTGCTAAGTATTATTA